CCCCCCCCCCCCCCCTCGGGGAGGAAAAAACCCCCCGGCCCCCTTTCGGGGGTGCCCCCCCCCGCCCCAAAAATAAACACCCAACCCAACCGGCCATCAACCCACCAAACCCGCAACCGGGGGGGCCCGCACCGGGGCTGCGCGTCATTTTCGCCAGCCGCAGGGTCTGTTGCTCTCTGCCGTGCTCGCGCGGCGGTCCCGCCGGGCCCCGCGCCCTCGCCGCCCGGCCGGGGCTGGAGAGGCTCAGCAGAGGTGGATGCCGCGCTCCTCGCACACGGCCACCAGCTCAGGCTGCTCCTTGTTGTCCACCATGAGCAACTGCACGCGAGGGGAGGTGCGATGAGCATTGGGCGGGGGGAGGGGCGAGTGGCGAGGGGGGGCGTCTCGCGCCTTCAGGCTCGGGGCGGCCCCCTCCTTGAGGGCGGCGGCCAGCGCCTTGCAGCCCTCGTCGCCAATCTTGTTGCTGTGGAGAGAGAGCTCCTCGAGCCGCGGCGCTGCCCCCTCCTTGCCGAGGGCGGCGGCCAGCGCCTTGCAGCCCTCGTCGCCAATCTCGTTGCCGAAGAGCTGGAGCTTCTCGAGCCGCGGCGCTGCCCCGCTCGCGAGGACCTCCGCCAGCTGCGCCGCCTCCGCGTCGCCCCAGCCGAGCTGGACGTAGAGCAGCTCGGTCGCCTTGCCAAACTGCTCCTCGAAGGCGGCCTCGTACAACCCCTTCACCAGCGGCTTGTCGTCCTTGCCGTTGGTGAAGCTCTTCGACTCCAGCTCCGCCGCGAACGCAGACGGCAGCAGCGGAGGGCGCCGGCCGCCGTCCTGGGTGCAGTCGGCTCGGAGGCTGTAGTACTCGTACTCCTTGCCGTCGTGCATCTTGCCGAGGTCGAGCGAGAGGTCGCCGTTCTTGGTCAGGCTGGCCCAAGAGCTCTCGGTGTAGCACCAGCCGCGGTCAAAGTACATGGCCACGTTGGTGCCCTCGGCCTGATCCTCCGCCTTGTGGCCGTCCGGAAAGGAGGTCAGCCGCAGCACGTATGTGTACGGGTGGGAGTAGAGCGTGCCGAGGCAGCCCAGCCCCTGCTTGAAGAGCGCGTTCTGCTCGTCGGTGCGCATGACGCGGTTGGCGGGGTCGGGGTGCTGGTGCAGCGAGCCGAAGTCCCAAAAGACGCCGAGCCGCGTGATCGTGCCGTAATTGTCAGTGAGCAGGGCCTTGAGCGCCCTCGCGACGCGGGCGAGGTTGGCTCCGCGCGGGTCGGGGTGGTCCTTGGTCAGCCACGGGTAGGAGAGCGCGGCGACTGGAAGCTCATACTTGGTCGCCTCGACGAGGTCGGCGAGGGAGAGGAAGGCCTCTTTGGGCAGCGCCTGGCGGTGGTTGAGGACGCCGCCCGCCCCGGCGTGGCTGATGATCCACTGCGCGTCGAGGAGGGCGACGGCGCCGCTCGCAAGGACCGGCTCCAGGTCGCCGCCACCGAGCTCGCGCCACCGCTTCAGCTTCTCCTTGTCCACTCTCCTTGTCCACGCCGAGGCACGTCTCTTCTCAAACCACGCGCGCATGGACAGCATCGCGATGGTGCTCAACAGCGGCTCGGACAGCGGCGGCCCGCCCAAACGTGAGCTCTGAGCTGAGGGCGTGTCGCGATTAAGGCGGGGTACTTGTACAAAAAGGACTAACATACGGAAATGTGAGTGTGTGTGTGCACATACGGAAATGTTCGACTTAGGCTTAGGCCAAGCCTCTCTAACTTTAAACACGGACGGCGTCGACACCAGCTGTGCTCTATCCACTTTCGCACGCAGCCGCCGCCGCGATAGCAATAGCGCAACTGTTAGGCCCCAAATTAACGTTTGACAACCCTAGCGCGTGGTGTGTAGGCGTGTATAGGCTCAGGACTGTCAGCGCAGCGCGCCGTTTGAGTGAGGTGGGGCGGGATGGCGAAGAGAGAGATAGTGTCAGTAGCGGAGGAGTATGTTGGGAGGCCGTCTGGGTCTAGCTCGGCGCTGCCGTCGGTCGCGAGGCCAGTGACGTAAGCTGAAGAAATCTCGGGGACGGTGGGGTCTGATATGATTGGGTGATGAATGACGGAGGAGATGCGAATTTGGGAGGGTATGGCTTCACTAGTCGTTGGAGTTAGCCGAATGATCACGCGCGCGTGCAGTCGAACAGGATAAGGGAGGCACCTTTGCGACGCCGCGAATCCAGTCGATCTGCGCGCACGGCGGTAGAGCGAGGGTCGAGTCGATCGGCGTCCAGATGTCGTTCTGCAGGTCCTGATATGGCGCCTCCGGGTCGCAGCGGCTCTTGTGGTGCGCGTCGCGTACCAGTGGCGTGACGTTCTGAAGCCGGCGTAGCTGGCATTCGATGGACTGCACCGAGGCAAGCCTGCAGCTGCGTCTCCGCCTCCTCGCGCTCGTCGCAGGATCCACAGATCAGTCGGAGGTCGTCGAGAGCGTCGAGTCTTTTGAGAACCTTTTTCCATCGCCACTTGATTGCATCTTTGCTTCGTTTGGTGGCGGATTCAAACGGCCACTGCTCTGCCACCTTTGGCAACGAGATGCCGTCTCGGACGTGGCGCAGCAGCACGAAGGCATCCATCTCCGGACGCCACGGGACGGCGCTGTGCTTTGATCGGCCGGATGCGTGGACGGCCATGAGGCTGCGACGCAGAGCACCGGGAAGAGGTGAAATGTAGTCCTCTAACTTTAAACACGGACGGCGTCGACACCAGCTGTGCTCTATCTATCCACTTTCGCACGCAGCCCGCCGCCGCGAGCGTCCATTGGCTGATCTTGCCAAGGCCGGCACGAGCCTCGAGCTCCTCGCAACGATCCGTACGCCAAGCATCTCGCGGAGTGGCGCGACGTCGAGCTGCCTCGGTGGCAGAAGGAGCTCGAGCAGTGGGAGGCAAGCGATCAGGCGCTCCCAGCACCGAAACCGCGCCCACCACCGACGGTGAAGAGCAAGGGTCTGCAGCCCACTCCGCAGCGAGAGGCGGCATACGAGGCGGCGAAGGCCGAGCACACGCCGTTGAATAACCGCTATAGGGAGGCAAAGGCCGGCCGCAGGGCCAAGCAGATGGCTGCAGTGTTTTTTGCAGTCGATGCGGTGCGGGATGACCGAGTGGGGGGGAGGTCCCGCCTCCACGGCCGCTCGAATCTCGTCCGGGTTCAGCCGTCGCTTGGCCATTGGGCGGAGCTGGGGGTGCAAACGACCGAAACCGTGGGACGCGGCCGGACGCAAACGGGTGGCGGTGGGACTTATAGGGTTAGACGTGCACACTCACTTCAACCTCGGGTTCCTCGCATCTTCCTACCTCTCCGCTCTCGCATGCGCACGCCCCGCTCAATCGGTGCCTGTCTTTGTTTTTTTTTTTTGAAATCTAGTGGGCGTCGTGTACCGCTCCTTTGGGAAGCCGATCAGGCGCGTTATGCCGCTCTCTTTCCCTGCTTTTGCTCACAGCCCTCTCCCGCCCACCCGCTGCACTCGCGAGTGGTACATCGCCACTGGGCCCACGGGCGCGCACCCCGCAACATTCCCGCCCGCCTGCAAACCGCTCGCCGCACCACCCGACTGCACTCGCTCGCGGATTTGCAGCAGGCATGATGCAATCTTTGGCCCAGCCTGTCCCGCTGCCCTCATCACTGCTGCCGCCTCGCAGGTGGTCAGGCGGTGACGCGCTGTACGCAATCGCTTGCAACATCAGGATGCTGGCTGTCCCGTCCAAGCCGCCCCCGTCAAAGCAATATCTGAACCAGCTTCGCCTCCACAAGGCCGCGCCGGCGCCCATCCAGGTCGCAGTGTCATCGGGCACCGTCCCGTGGCCCGATCTGGTTGTGCAGGCCCGCCTTAGCCCGCCCATCCCGCACCGCTGCTCCCCTTTGCCCTCACCTCACTTTGCTGCCGCCTCGCAGGCGGGCCCAGCGGTGAGCGCGCTGTACGTAATCGCGCTGCTGCTCTCCGCACCCATCTACCTCGTCTACTATCTCCTCGACAAGTTCATCTTCCCGATCTTCCTCTACGCATTCGAGGCCATAGCGCGCACACCGTGCCTAAACGCCACAGCGCACAGTGAGGTGCTTCCGGGCGACGGCTGCGCCTTCATCACCGGCGCGGACAGTGGCATCGGCAAGGAGATCGCGCTCGACCTCGCGAATCGCGGCTTCGACCTCGTCATCACCTCGCACAACGAGGAGCACGGGGAGGAGGTGCAACGCGAGATCGCGGCCAAGTACCCACAGATCAAGGTAATTCGACAGGACGCATGCATACTGTGTGTTGCTTGGCGGCGCATCTCGGTGACACTGAACTGTGTCTTGCCAGGTGAAGTACTTTGCGGCCGACCTGGCCGCGCCCGACGCGGCAACACACGTCTACGAGGAGATCTTCCCGTTGCTGCCGGATTGGTGCCAGGACGTCTCGATCCTGGTCAACGACGCCGGCGTTGGCTACTACGGCGCCTTTGTGAACGTGCCGACGAAGAAGCTGCAGATGATGGTGCAGCTCAACAACAACACCCCGGCGCGCGGCTGTATGCGTAGCGCCGAGGTAGCGCCGAGTCGTGTGTAGCCACCGCGAGGAGCGAGCTCGACCTCGGTAGCAACACGCCTGGCCGTGATGTACCTCGAAATCTCTCTTGGCAGGTCGGCCTGATGAGCTACTTCCTCGAAGGGATGATGGCGCGGAAGCGCGGCATGGTCCTCAACCTCGGCCCGCGCCAGTCGCGAGGATGTCGGGCGGGGCGGCGGCGTGTCTCGAGGTGAGAGGTGGGGCGCGATGTCACCCGTAGGCTCGATCCAAAGCTTCGACCCAGGCCCGGCCGAGGCCACCTACGGAGCGACCAAGGCCTACTGTTGCCAGTTCTACTCCTCTTTCGCGCAGACCCCGTGACTCGAGAGGGTCGGCTCGTCTCCCTCAGGCCTTTCTGCTCAGCATCTCACGCGCGATGCACTACGAGCTTCGTTCCACCGGCATCTCCGTCACCGCCGCGTGCCCCGGATTCACGCACAGATGCCATCCAGAGACGACTCTCTAAACGGCACACCTCTTCACACTGCCGACGCGCTGTGAACAGGCAGACGAGCTTTTGGAAGCCAGACGAGGAGCCGCTCGGCGCCAAGATCCCCTGCTTGCTGCAGCAGGCCGCGCCGTGCGCCGCCCAGTGCGTCGAGGGCATGTTTGCACGCAAGCCGTGCGCCCCCCCCCCCCCCCCTGCCCCCTCCTTGCACCCCTCTGCTTGGCATGCCATACTCTTTCCCATCCTCGCGTTGGCTGCCCGCTCTCCCTAGCTACGACTCTATAGCCCGCGGCCGCAGGTATGTCGTCACCGGCAACGTCGGCGGGCTATTCAACCGGTTCCTCGTCACCGTCGGCCAGATGAACTCGGAGGACTTTGGGTGCTGGTTCGTCAACACGCTCTGGCGCCTCCCAAAGAAGGTATAGTCTCCGCACATAGACGGAGCGAGCGGCTTCCCGGGGCAGTTTGGAGCCGCGACGCCGGCGGGCGGGCGCTCCTGACCTCGGTGGTACTCGTAAGTCGTGCGTGTATGAACCGCACACTACGGCTTTAACCGTGTGTATGCGAGCCTCTCCTGTGCATGTATCCCTCTGAGCTCTGTTTACTGCGACAGACGACACTAGCCTCTTCACTTGCCTCGCACACACTATATACTGCAGCGACAGAGGCATAGATTCTCAAGCCTCGACGATCGTGTTATAATCATCATTCTGTTCTAAGCTTCTACGACCTGCCGCGCGTACACATTAAGAGATTAGAGAACTGAGAACAAGATGAAGATTACGGCTCTAAGAAACACCTCGCGTGGCCATCTAGCTCCGCGAGAGCGCCGTCTCTCAGACGCAAACGACCGCCTGGGCGGTCGGGGCGGACGGCTCGCGCGCGGACCGCGCCTCACGCCCCTTGCGGCGGCCCAAATCTCGCGCGCCCTCGATCCGCTCGACGAGCTCCGGGTCTCGCCGGCGGAGGACGTGGTCCGCCTAGGGAGGGAGGGGGGGGCATGGGACAGTCGCGGCGTCGTGCGGAGCGCGTGTGAGTGGTCCGCCTCGGCGTAGCAGATTAGCAGCGTGCGCGTGCTGGTCAGGAGCGGCGACAAGCCGACCGAAACGACCGGCACAGCGAGCGCCGCGGCGAGCGCGTAGCGGCGCGGCAGCGGCAACATCACCCAGATCGCCTGCGTCTGGCCGTGGTGGCCGAGGGCGGCGGCGAGGGCGGCACACATGGCGAGCGTGACGAGGAGGCATCCTGCGGTGGCGAGCCAGACCACGGGCGAGACGAGTAGGATGTTGGCGGCGACGTCCATGCCCGCCTTCTTGACGAGCCTATTGGTGGACGCGTCGTGGACGTGTCCGTGGACGAGTCTTGCACGCGCTCCCGGCGACGGGGGTCCCCGACGAGCGCCCGATGACGGCGCGGCCCGAGGCGAGGAAGGAGCGGCCGTACAGGCCGGTGTAGACGAGCGCCCACTCGTTGAAGGCCTCGGCCGCGCGCTTGATCGCGTCGAGCACGCAGTCGACGCAGCAATTGACGAGCTTGAGCGGCAGCCCCAGCGGGACGCAGTTGCTCATCCGCCTGTACTTGAGCTGCTTGAGCGTCGCGACGAGTGCCTGCACGACCGCCACCACGAGCGTTCCGAAGCAGATCGAGCCGAAGCAGGTCGTCATCGCCCGGAGCAGCGCGTTGGACACGACGGGCTTCAGCAGCAGGCCGACGCAAGGCGCTGGCGCTGCCATCGTCTCTGGCACAAAGACCCACGCGCCGATTGCGCCGGCCGCGGTGACGTCGGAGACGCCCTTGCACACGTTTTGGCCCCAGTACAGCGAGAGGAGGAGGAGAAAGTAGACGGCAGCGCAGATGGCCGTCACCTCGCCAGAGGTGTACCTCGCCTCCGCGCCCTCGCCCCACTGCTGGTAGAAGTCGTCCCAGAGGTGCTCGACCACGCGCTGGATTACGTAGACGGCAAAAGGAAGCCACAGAAGAAACCAGCATGTCGCAGCGAGTGCCGAGCCGTACGCCACCTGAATAAGAGAGGTCACACGGCGTTCAGAGTGCGCAAGGCCCGGTGCGCGTGGGTGAGCACAGTGCACGCGCGGCCACCGTGATGAGGCCCGGCATCTCGAGCAGCAGCGCCGCAGATTTGGACAGCAGCGCGGCGCTGGTATCGATCCGCCACCGGAGGAGGTAGACGCTGAGGAATATGGCGCCTCCGACCAGAGCGACGCCGAAGCCCAGGTTCGACCCGTACTCCTCCGCATAGCCAAGCTTATTGGGGCCGGCGGCGTCGGCGGCAGCAGCGACTCCGAAAGCCACGAGCGTACTGGGCACCGCAAAGAGCGTCACGTACAGCAGGCGGAGCGCCTGCGTCTCAAGCACGAGCACGAAGCAGTGCACAAACGCGAATGAAGTGCAGAGCGAGAGGGCGAGCGCTAGCGCAAGGTCGCGAGCTTGGTGGTGTTCGAACGCCGCCTCGCCGAGGTAGCTTTCGGCGCCGAGGAAGGGCGAACCAACCCACACGACCGCAATCACGTGAGCGAGGAAGAGCCAGATTGCCCACGCGTCGCGAAGCGGCAGCGCGTCGGTCTCGTCCATTCTCAAAAAGGAGCTGTGCGCTCGCTTCCGTCGAACGGCTGCCTGCAGCTTCACGACGCCGCGCATGACGGTCTTCTCGTGGTCTGAGGCAGAGGCCCGGCTGCGAAAGAGCATGGAGGGATTGACGTGAGAGCGAGCCTCGACAGCGCCTGATACTCGAGTATCTCTCGAGGTTCTCGAGGTGGATATCCTTTGGCCGCGTTGGGTAGCGAGGATTGGTGTAACCCGAGCCACGGAGGCGTGTTTTCTGACGGCCGACCGTCAGTGCACGGAGTTGCCCCTTCTCCGACTGCCCCGGCTAGTTCCCGAGGTCGCGCGGGAGTGACCCCTGCGTCCCCCGAGACCTAGCGCGGGTGGGTTGGAGGGGGCTCGCCCCGTTCCTCCCCATCGGGCCGCGTGAGCGGCCACGCCTCGCAGATTCGTTTTTCGCGCCTGGGTCAGGCGCGCGGGGCATCCCCCGGGTCGCTCGACCAGCGATCCGAAGAGTGGCCGCTATGCGAAGGAAAGAGTGGGGGCCTCGGGGTACGCCTCCGTCCGGCAGAACCGGCACTTAAAAGAATTTTATCCGAATGCTCCCAGCAAACTCCCTCGCACAACACTGGGCACGGGACTGGGCGCACTGGCACTAACACAGGTACACTTAAAAGAACTTTACAACCCAACTCCCTCGCACGACACCGGGTACGGACTGGCACTGCAAAGGCGACGGCTTAGAAGCCGTCGCCCTCTCAGATGCCGTCGCGTGTGAGTGAGTATTCTTGATACGAAACCACGACGACACACACCAGTCGACTCGCATCGGTTGCCTCCATGAACGGCGGAGCTATTCTCGCGTCCACACCACACCTGGCTCCAACGTGGACACGCCCATAGCTGGGGACACTACTAGGTCACGCATGGCATCAGAAGTTTTATCTCTGGGCCCCGAAAGGCATCTCTAGCAGCGTCGTTACGCATGTGAAGGCGTCGTCGGAATGGTAGTCAGGCGGATGGTCGAATCCGCGAGCACCGTGGTGCTCGCCGAGAGGACCATCCCCATCATCCTCCGACTCCATCCCCTCCCCCCCCCCGTCGCTCCCGCCGCGCCCCCCGCCGGCGCCCGTCGCGGGACTTCCTGCCCCCCCCCCGCCAGCGCCGCGGGCCGGGCCGCTCCGCAACTCCTCCAGGTCCCCCTCAAAGAGGAGGACCCGCCCCTCCCTCACCGAATCCTCCCATCCCGGGAATGTGGGACACCGCAAACAGAACCGCGCCCCGCGTCCCAGCAGCTCAATCTCTCCCGCTCCCCTGGAGCAGGCGGACATCGCTTCCAGGGAGGGGGGCGCACTTCTACTCACACCACATGCTAGGGGGGGGGGGTCCCGACCCCCCCAGCACCTTCACCACATGCTAGGGGGGGGGGTCGTGGCCGAGGACCCCCCCAGAGACTCGTGGTCAGGCCCTCCGGGCCCTTGATTTTACGCCTCATTTCGCAGTATTTTCGAGGGGGAAATCATCCTTTGGAGCTACATGAGCCTTGAGACTGGTCAGATTCCCCAAGATATTGGACGTTCAGCCACGATTTCACAACTTTGGGGGCAAAATCGGCTCTC